TGATAAGCCTCTTCCATTCAGTGTCACCCTGCGCAGATAAAGCAGGACACTGCATTGCACTTACAAACACAGCAAGGCAAAGCCTTGCTACAAAGCAATAACTGTGCTATACTAAGGGGAGCTACATTGCAATTAATAGTCACGCTTTAGATTATTTTCGTAGTACAGGCTCCACTACCTCCATTCAGTTCCTTTTGCAAGGGCTACTTTTGTATGGAAAGAGGTGCCAGAATGCTGATTTGTAAAGGCAAGGATCTTTCTGTCAACACAAACCTGGTATGTTTGTTTGCTTTATCTTTGCTCAAAAAACACTACTCTCCACCACACCACAGTACTGTATTAGTCACTACTAATTTACTAGTAATAAGTTCAGCACTAATATTAAGGTCAGTTTCACCTTGTCCTTTTTATTTTGCATGCATCCAACAACAACAACCCCCAAGACCTACCCAACTCATCATGTAACGACAGCAATATTTTGCATTTTGCATTTCAATAGTATTTCCATGAGAGAGACCTGGAGGGATCTTGACACTGCCACCTCAAAACACTTCAATATGCCAAAGCATTTGTCTTTGCTTCTCAGGCCTCCCTTTCAACTTTCATGAAGAGCTCAGAAATAAACACAAAAGACCCACGTAATTATTAAAAGAAAAAAAAAAGAAAAAGGAAAAAAAGAATGAAAGGGAGAGAGAGCTGAGCTGGAGGTTGCCTTCTGGTACTTGAACCTGGAAGGACCACATTTTCAAAACTTCTGTATCTAGAAAGACAGTAAACCCCCTTTCGGCTAAATTAAGAAAGCAGAGCTTAGCTTCTTAGGGAATAGCACTGCTCCAGAAATTGGGCCCTTATCACTTAATATAACAAGACTAGTGAAGCGATGAAATTACAAGAGCAGTTGAATCTTTCCTCATAGGCTTCATTCCTTCCAACACTCAGGAAATAAGAGTTATCAACAGTTAAGGAAGAATGGCTGCACGTTCAGAACTCACTAATATGTGTGTTCATCACCTTCAAAATACCAAGCTGTAAATTATAAGAGTACATGACACACTTGAGGTGTTTAATATATATCCTTCTTTATCCTTCTTTTATTTAATAGCCAGAAGAAATTGAAGCAAATATCCCCTCCAATCAATTACATGGGAACTGGAGTCTGTGTTTCACAGTGAAAACCATTAGACCTTAAAACGTTGACCTTAAAACTCAGAGCAAGTTTACAGGCCAGGTTTTTATTCACCCCCTGCACAGAACAAACTGCCATTAGGAAAAACAACAGACCATACCTCTTCATGCATAGAATGAAAAATTGACACTGAAATTTCAAAAAGGAGCCATGGCATTCAGAGCACAAATCAGATCCTATCGTGGTTTCAATCACACCACAGCTACGTGACTCTCAGCTCTCAGAAGGCACATGCCCAGACTCTCTTCGCAATGAAGTTGCAATAATAACATGTACCTGGTCTCAATAAAAACAGAATTTGGAAATACAGTGGGCCTGGCAGGACTACCGCTACCTCATGCAATGATAACTAGCACAAGAGGCAAGATGAGGCAAGAGTACTTCCTTTGCAAACATTTAATGCACTCCAGATGGACTTCAAGAAAACTGTGAAGAACATGGGGTGCTTTGAGAGTCTGACTATTCTGTTGGTCAAAAGCTCATTCAAGAAACAAAATTAATATGAAGAGAGCTGCAGTGATAATAGTGAAATAACCCCAAATGATCTTTGACTGAATTCCTCACAGTGCTTATAATCTCAGCACAGACAAAATAATAAAATATAGAGCAAGGGAATTCCATTAGATTATTTAAAGAAGAAGTAAGAACAGTGCACACAATTCATATTGGGCTCTTGCCATCTCTGAGTTAAATCTGGACTTGGAGAAGTGCACCTACGTGTAAAGCACATAATCTGTCAGAAGTAGGACACAATAATACATCCATGAAATAAGAGACCAATCTATCACACTCTTCAATACAACAGACCTTCTTTTTCACCTTTCACACATTTCTTAAGTAGGTCTGTATGTGAATGAATGAGGATTAATGGGGTTAATGACAGTTGACACCTACCTGGTAGCTAGTCTGGAGATCTGATACGATTAGGAAGGACACTGTATTGTAAGACTGGAAAGGATCGGAAATACTTTGGCTGCAAACACTTCGTAAAACTGGATTGACTGCATTTAGGGTTCCTCTTTTGAAAATAAAATAAATTTGACTTCACACAGCTGCTCTATTTTTATATTGTCAGAACAAGTGTTTCAGAACTGCCATTGTGAAACTCAGTTCTGTGCTGTATTTATCTGCTATATGACAAATCAGAACTGGAACGTAAGCCAAATAGTCTGCCTCAAATGACCTGAAAAACAATTTTTTTTCGTAGTAGCTTCTTTCCAAGAACAGAAATTAAACAAAAAAAAAAATCTAAAATTGCAATTGAGCAGTAAAGCTGAAGTCTTTCACAAACACTGCTGGCCCAGTAGCTTTCAATGCTTAACACACACAACACACACACTTTCAAAGTCACAGGCACCAGCACTACTGCAACTATGACATTAAGTCTTGTGCCTCTTCTCATAACCTGCTATTTGGTCTTTGTCCACTACAGCCTTGTTTGCGTTTAACTATCCCCTCTCTGTGGCACCATCTGGAGCAGCAGCTCTGCTGCCCACCTTTCTGCTCCGCAGAAGTGAAGCCGTGCTGCTCTGTAGCTCTTCATCATTGCTTCATCCTTCTTCCTCTTGGCAAAATGTCAGGCAGCATTAACCCCTGTACAGTTTCGGCAGTCTTGAGAGAGGCCTGGGTAAGGAAGGGTGCTCATCTGGAGGAAAGTCCCATGCTGGAGGGGTGCAAGAGCAAAGGAAGATGCCCAAGCATGACTTTACACTGAAGCTTCTAACATAAGGGAAAGCCAGGTTGGGAGGAGATTTAAATCAATATGAGACATCTTTCTTTTTCTACCTGATCATGGCTCACTCTGACTCCAGCAACTACTTGCCCAAGGAGCTTAAGACTATTCCAATGCTTGGCAGTATCAAGATACTTGCTTTTAGTACCAGCGCTGTGAAGGATGCAAGTAGCACTAGCCTGTAGTGGCTTTGCAGCTTTATACTATTCATTGTGAAGCAGAAAAACAACAAGTACATTTGTGATCTTTAAGTCTTCCAGTTTCAGGCAGGGAGTGAGATAACAAATTCATCTCCATCAGAAGTAGAGAATAAATTTTAACTGCACTCTACTGAGTCACTATACGCCAAGATCTGATTTTGGAAACACAAGTGCATTTATAACCTTGCTTACAACCTTGGTGGGCCTACTCTTGAATAAAACTTCACATGCGCTAAACACCAGTGGCGGTCTTTTAAATAATTAACTTTGCAAGATCTCAGAACTAGTTCAAAATAGTAAAAGCTTTGCAACCAGATTCAGATTTTTTTTCAGATGGAAAAAAAATCACCAAGGCGTTTATCTGAAACCTTACATCACATGCAATACAAGTAATACTAGCTGTTAAGTGTAAGTGAAGTCTCCAGGTGCACTGAGGGCAGCACATTTCTCCCTCTTAGACCTCTAGTCACATTATTAAAAGCCTATCATATTTTTCCTTCTCCATTTCTTCCAATTTCAGAATCCCCCATGACATATAAGGAGATGATAGGCTTGACAGTCACTTTTTCTACCTAAAATTATTTTTTCATTTAAGACATCCTGAATTGGATTATTAGTCCTATCAAACCCGGTACCTTGATTCTGGCAGAAACCAACACACTCCCTGGAGTAATGAAACACACACAATGCCAGGCTAATGGAGCTACTCAAATATGCAGCACACAACACGGAAGAAAAATTATTTCATGGCCTCTGTGGCTATCGGGTCACACCTTGATACATCAGTCCCAGTTAGCTTTCGTTTTTTAAACTCCTTTTATTGATCATAAAATAATGCTACACTTTCTTAATACATGTATTGATCTTACCATCATGTATTTCAATTATGGTGACGATGTGACGTCAAGGTGTAAAAAAGATTGCTCACAGAAGTCCAGAAATGTGACAACGGCTGAACACTTTGCTGGCTAGGCTTTTTGGCATTCAATGACTTTTTATTATGTAGAGGAGCCAAAGAAGAACAAGGGTTTGTTGTTTGTTTTTTTTTTTTTGTGTACACTGGGAACGTAAGGACCTAAACTCCCAAAGCAAACATGAAGTTCTGAAGGAAAGCCCTGAGGGCTTTCAAGAAATTAATCCCCACTCAGCTGACTAGTCATCCCCACCAGCAGCCCAGCACCGCTCCTCCTGGGATCTCATGACACAGATGAAAGAGCAACTACGCTGCAAAAAAACTTCAGCAATGCTGGCGAAAGCATACGGGGGAGATTGAAGGAAACACGGTCTATTTGAAAACAATTATTCTAAACACACGCATTCTTTGTGTAGTTAATCAGTAACACATGAATTCCCGAAAGAAGGGGCTGGTTTTGCCTGCCCATCACTTAGTTTAGCAGAAAGATTTCGAGTGATTCTGCCGGGAGGATCTTTCAGAGCACCCGATCACAATGAAACGCAGCTTAAAAAATGAAAGAATGAGAAAAGCACCCTCTGACTCCAAACCACAGCCATTTCGACTGACAGAACAGCTCGCTTCGAACCAAACCGCTATCAGACACACACAGCCTGAAACCGGGCACCAGCCCCGCAGAATTTCCCCAGCAGTCACCGGCCATCGCACCGGGGGGCACCTGGAGACGAGCCTCCCGCCCGGCCCAAAAGAAATTCGTTGCCGCCGCAGCCGCGCACGAGCACCGTCTTTTGGGGTAGGGAGGGGAAGGGAGGCGCCAGCATTGAGCAAAGGGAGAAAGTTGAGTTTGGGCCGAGGGGGGCGCCGGACTCCCGCCTACCGAGTAGAAGTTTGCCTCCCCTTCTAGTCGTGTCCCCCCCCCCCCCCCCCCCCCAAAAAAAAAACAACCCACAGCTCCCGGCCCGCTCCTACCGCCTGCGGTGGGGTCCCGATCAGCATCTCCAGGTAGTAGCCGCGGCCGGAGTCCCCCTGAAGATTCTCCACCATAGCTAAAAGGTTAAGGGTGCCCCCAGGATCCGAAGCCAAGGCCAAGCCGTCCGCGCCACCGGGGGCCTCCGGCTGCCGGCTGCTGCTTGCCGGGCGCAACACCACCGGGGCGGGTAGCGACCCGCTGGGGGCGGCCGGACGGGACACGCGGAGCGGGAGGGAGAAAAAAGCGCGGCAGGGCCCCGCTGTGCCGGCCAGGAGAAGGAGGAGGCAGGGAGCCGTCAGCGGCGTCCCCATCCCGGCAGCAGCGCGGGGGCCGGGGGCGCTTCCCAATTGCAGCGGCTTCGGCCGGAGGCAGCGGCCGCCTGGCTGCTAGACTGGAGCAGCCGGGGCGGAGGGGGGAGGAGGCGGAGGAGAAGGAAGGAGGGAGCGGCTTACCCACGCCCCGGCTTCATCTCCCCCTCCTCCCGAACCGAGCTCCTCCTCGCGGTTCTACCGACTGCCCGGGGACCGTGCGGGAAAGTCGCTCCTGACCGGCACCTATGGAGAAACTTCCCGGTTCGGTTTAGCCTAGCCCGTAGCCCCGGAGCGTGGCGGCGCGATGGGGAGAAAAGTTTCCGAAAGCCTTAAAGGGAGAGCAGCGGAGCGGAGGAGAGGGGATCCCCGCTGCGGGAGACGGCCGGGATTACGGTCCCCTCTCGGTGTGGCTGCGGCTCCTCGACCCTCACCAGCGCGGGGGCCGGCTTAGGGGTTCGCGCAGGCACCCGCCTCAGGACCCCGGTGGAGCGGAGTCTGTGGCTGGGCGGGGGGGGTAAAGGGGGGAGGGGGAGGAGGAGGAAAAGAAGAGGAAGAAGAGAAGGGGTTCGGGGCCGCTCGGGGACGCGAGTGCGCCTCTCCCACGGGTGTCCGTGTCAGCGTGTGCCTGCAGCGCGGGTGATTGATGGCAGCCGCGATTCACAGCGGTGGCGTTTGGTGTGAGGAGCGGGCGTGTGCGTGTGTGTGTGGAAATTCATCTGCTGTACTAGTAAGAGCGAGGCATGAAAGACGTCCGCATGTGAGAAAGCCTGCGAGGCTTTAAATGTCTTCATCATGCACAGAATTAATAACAGCAGTCAAGTGCAGCCTTTCGAAATACGGGAACACTTAGGATGAATTAGTTTCCACACCTCTGGAGTAATGACAGTGTCAGATCATTGGATGGAGCAGATAGTCCAAAAGCCTTGAAAAACAAAGCTGGGTAAATCTAAGCAGAGTCACTTTTGTGCCACTCTGTGGTAGATGAAGTTGAAAAATATCTAGCCTAAGTCATGTGTACTTTCAGCATTTCCTAACCAACTTGCTGTCCTAGGCAGCCACCTGCTCTGTCCTTGTGTGTAAATCTGCTCTAAACTGTGTGGACTGAGATCCCTCCCCTGCCATAGTAAATGGGAAGGGCTCCCTTTCTTCCTTGAGAGGGAATAATCTTCCACAAGATTTTCAAGTGTTTCACAGGTATTAAATGAACTTTCACAAGAAGGTGCACAGCTGTAGTGTTTATTCCCAGGAAGGCTGAACAGTTTGCTGGAAGGATACTCAGGTGAGTGTGTTACTCACGGCCATTGCCAGAGTTGCTTGCAGAGGATAATCCTTAAAAGGAATACAGGAGCCCATCTGCCCCTGCTGAAAGAAAAGTTGTTTTCATATTTCCCACTGATATTTTCAGTACTCTGTCTCTCTGTTACTTCAAATCTAAAGCCCTCGCTCTCACTTTGTAGCTATTGCCTTAGATCAGTTCAGTGCTTGAGCATACTCCCTTGCACCCACAGCAGGAGGGGGATGCAGGCCCTGTCCTTGCTACTTCAGAGCTCCCTGCAGAAGGAGGAAAGTGCTGTAGTGCTCTTAACCTCTCGGTGCCAAAGGTGGGAAGCCTGCAAAGGGCTTGGTTTGACTAGGAAATTTGGTAGAGTGCATAGATGAAGCTTGAGATCAGGTTATTTTACTCGCAGGAAACTACAGATCTGTGTAAAAGGTGAAATTATGTGAACTTTCCCCACTGCAGGAAGCCTTCTATTTGCCTGACAAGTAGGAATGTGAAGTATTGCAGTCCTGGTATGCCTAATCTCACCTGCTGTAGACAGAGCTGGAAAATGCTGCTCTAGGCTGATGGCAGCTGAACACCTGCAGGAGTAGCTCACGCAGAGGTTATCTCTAGAGTGCGACAGTAATGGCTTTTGCTAATGTAGCTGGGATAGTGACAGTTTATACTGTAAGGCCTGACTAGCCAGAGCTGAAGCTGAAGGGGATTTAAAATGCTTAGGGCTCTTCATGGGTGAGCTGAAAACTGGAGAAATGCCCCCACCCCTTTGAGAAAGGAAATGTGAAAAGTAATCAGGAGTATAATTGAACACCCCCTCAGAGTGGTAGGGATGTATTTATAACAGTCAGCAGCTATATACATTTTGTTTTAATTCTTTTACAGTACAGTAAATCTACCCCGTTGCTACTGTTGCTAAGATACTTTACCATACTTCTGGCTGAAGCAATTCTTGTCAAAAGAAGTGTATAGTTTCAAAGTATAGAAGATATAGTGTAGCCTTCAAGTGCTCAAGAGAAAACTTGCCTGTTCTCATACTCTTTGGTAAAAGTTCTTCCTACCCTGTTTTCCGCAGACCTAGATAACTCTCACAGTAAATGCACATCAGAGAGCTGCTGCATATGAAATGGTGTATGCATAACCTTTCTGTGCTCCCATCGCATCATCACAGCAGGGCTTGTGTTTGTGCAATGGCGTGTAGTGAGGTTTCTGCCTTGCCTTGTCTGCTTCTTTATTTACCTAGGTATCTGCTAAGGCTTTGACTGTGCCATGTGCAGGTGAGTAGTCCCAATGCATTTATGAACAATGGCAGGAATGGGCCCTGAAAGAGCAGTGTAAACAACTGCTTTTGAAAGAGACATTAAAAAGTCCTCCCAGAGAGCTGAATGTAACTGTATCCAAAATGTTCCTTGGACGAGAAATCATCTGTATGCAATGAATGCCACTAAAGTCAATATGAACATTTATTTCTTTTTTTTTATCACATACAGAAAATAAATGAAATGCTTGAAATAGACACAAGTTTAAGTGTCTGTATCCCTTGTTTTCTAGAATATTTGGAGAATCTTTGTTTTCTGTTTTTTTTTTTATTCCAAATATTTATTCTTTGAGTAAATAATTTAAAAAAATCTTTGAATATCAAATAGGCCTTTTTTAAAAACTCATTTGTCCATGTATAAATTTTCAAGTATATCTTGACTTTGATCCAACTCTGCATTAATTTAATTTTATGTTATTGTCGTGCTTTAAATCTTGAGCCATTTGACAGTGAATTAACGTATGTCCCTATAACATAATCTTCCACTAGTATTTACAGAATAAAAATGCAGCTGCTCTGTGTTATTGACAAGGTATGTCAACTAATTCAGAAGGACAGTTGCTATGCGGAGATGTTAAATCAGGACTGCTGAGAAAACAAGCAGGAATGGCGAAGGCGGCTGAAGATGCAGAGGAAGTGCTGGAGCTGATCTGAGCAAAGAAGCTCTGGATGGCTAAAAAGAGATCCTCTCCTTCCAAAACAGGAAGCTGTTAGGGGACTGCTCAGGCCGAAGTAGTTCTTTGTGATGCATCTGAAGAGATCACGCTGACCTGTGCTATCACTATGCAATGATAAGGGCAAATTGACACAAAATGAAAACTTCTGTTCCAAAACTGCTTTGTCTACTTTCTGTGTTTCTACTGTCAGTATAATCAATACTTCAGTTTTCAGAAGACTGATTGCTCTTTTACTGCTAATTATTGCACACTGGTAATTGCACACTGAAAGAAACCCAGCTGGACCTGCAGTGTACAATTAATCTGCAGAATGCAGTAGCCATAGGAGAGGGGAAATTTTGCTCTTCCTGGACCTGACTGGCAAATGGTCTTCTCTGTCTGTGGTCACCTTGTAATCAGCTTTTTCATATTTTGGGCCTAATCCAGTGAAATGTTGCTGGTAAATGACAGAACAGTAAACAAGTGGCAGAAAATGCCACATGATTTGGCTCTGTTGCATGTCTGCAAAGGCAGTGTGTCTTTGAAGGCAAAGTCCCCGTGGGATGAAAGATGTGGCACCTAGGAGAGCTGTTCCAGTGATACTGCCAGGGCTCTAGTAATATGATTCTGTGATCTCCTGTGCCAAAGTGTGGGCATGGGCAGTTCTGGGCTTGTTTAAGGACCGAGAATATGCACCATGTAGAGAGCTCATCCAAAATCAGTCTTGTGGCTGGAGAATATGTGATTGGGGATGCAGGTGGAAATGTTTAGCACCCTTCGTCTCTTTACTGTGAATAGAGAATCTCTGAGCAGGGGTGTCTGATCCCTGTCTGTGCAATTAGTTTTCTGTGTGATGATATATCCCTTTGGCTGCAGTTGAATATACAAGATGTTGAAGTTCCAGCTGTCTTCTGTCAAAGTTCCATTAAAAACAAACAAAATATCATCCTCAGTTGCTGCTGAAATCACTGGTGGAGTCTGACTGAGGTGATTTCAGAAGTCATCCCAAGGCTTGTTTTGTGGTAGAGGCTGTCACCCAGTTGGGTGCTGAGGTCCCTATTTTACATCTTCCCTAGAGCAAGGTCCCCCACCCCAGCAAGATTTCACAGGATGTGAGCTTCTCTCCTATTGGAGCACGAGGCCCTTTCTCATATAAAAAATCTTCATGCCCCAAAGTGTTTTCTTTTTTCTCTGGGTCTCCAAGTTCACATACAAAACACGCTCTCCTCTGTCACACCTCATCCCTTTTTCTCTGACAAAGTGGTGCATCACCAAAGAGAAGAGATGCAAAACCCACCTTGTTTTCTGCTTGTCCCCATACTAGACCACAGGGCCTGCACAGAAGCCACCATGAGTCTTTTGTGGAAAGGAGCAGGAGCAAAGGGGAGAAACACAGCTGCAGGTCCAAGTGGCTCAAAGTAAGGCTCACTCAGGCCCTGTAGGGTCAAAGGGCAGCACAGAACAGAGATCAAGATTAGGGTCATGGGCATCCCGATGCTGCAGTACTCAATATGCTTGGCATTGTGTTGTTTTGTCTGCTTTTTTATCACCTTCTGTTTGAATTTTGCTACCGGTGGGCCTGGTGTAGTTCACTGCTATCATCTGGGAGAGTGGTAATTTCTGCTTCTGGCCCAAATCTGAGACAGGCTTCCGAGTTCTTAATGAATGCAGTGACCACTCTCAGAAAAGTGCTATTTCTCCTCAGAAACTCTACAGTCTTCCTCAACTCCATTCTCTAGCTGGCACCATGGAAGAAATAATTTGTGGGTTAGACCTTAAAATGACCCAGTATTGAACTTCTGATTCTATGCCTTCCTACACTGCAAACAGCAATGGTTATAAATTTATAAACTATGAAAAATTAAACATGCAGGGAACTATAATAGCACTTTAAAAAC